GTGATAAAATTTTGACAAAGTTTAAACAACGATTTATAAATACAGTGTACATTGAAACCCTACGAAAAGAAGAAACTGTCCATTACTTTTATTACTAGAACATCGAAAAGATATCATGACTACAGACAATGAACGGAAAAGTTAATGTAAGGAAAAATTTTCCTACCACCAGAACTAACTCAATTATATGAGGTACAGTACAAAATATACATTTATGTGAACTACGCTCATTAACCCTACTCCTACATTCGCCCACACCTTGACCGCTTGCTGTACCTTTATATCATAATAACATTTTAACATATCTTCTGATTAGACTGTAACTATAAACAACTGGACAATTTCTCTAAATATTCTTGATAATGTAATAACAACAATACTTTCATAGTAGTTACAATTCTTCAACATGACTTTGTCAGTCACTTAAAATTCTTCATTTGACAAAGTTATTTAGAATCAGACCACTTTATTCAACAGAATTACAATGATATATAAAAAGTAATGCACGAGCAATTTCATTTTGTTTATACAATTGCAGAAACCGATTCTAATGCTCACGTTTATCTGGCATTTAGCTCTGCTTCCGCGCATTGTACTAACCACGCCGTGAGCTAAATTAGAGCGATTTTAAACATCGTGAAGATTGTTTGTTTTATTCGATAACACCTCGGGAAGTCCACGATCTGGAGCCACGATATACGATGCCAATTGTTTCAATTGTACTTCATATATTATATGTTTAATATGCCAGTAAATTTTGTATTAAAAAATATTTTTAACGTAAACAAATGTAGTATCAATATATTTATGATAATATTTTTTATATGTTTTCTGAATTTCTTGTCTATTGACTAATTCTGTATGAACCTTATTTTCGGAATCATATTTCTTTCATATAGTAATGATGCATAGGTAAGTCTCATGCTAGAATGCCAAACAAACGCATGACGATAAGTTTTTTACATTTTTAGCAAGGATTAAGGCCTCAACATAATTCAATGCCAAAACGATGTCGTTTAAGTTTCTGTGTATATAATATCCGGAGTCATCATCGTGACTAATTAATTCGAATGTACAATTTCATAATTAATCGTGGGAACGCAAATGTGAGTTATAGTATAAAAATGTAGCTTTCTCGCCATCCGGGCTTCCGTAGCAAAGATTTGATCTGAGGAGCTGATTGCGAAACAGATGACTCACGACATTGCAATAAACTTATACTAAGAAGAATAACGCAATTATAGTACAATATGTTTAACCATTTAATTATTTTTTTAAACATTATCAGGTATTTAAATGAAACTAATATTTTTCGGATTATACAACACGTATATAATTGTTTTAAAAACTACATATTCCTGACGTTTCCGTTAGTTTTCAGCAACCGTGATCATGTGTAGACTAGATATTATTTCAGGCGTATTTTAAAATTATCCCAAAAATATTAGTTTCATTTAAATGAATACTCGCTAAAGTCTCAGATCTCATTATCAGGAAATGATTTTTATATATACTAATATTACCCAATGATTTTTTGAGTTTAAGTTGCATTTATCATTCGTTTTAATAGTATTGACACAAATTTCTACAAATTTCTACATTATAAAAGACTTCAGTCATCTTGTCATATAAACCAAGCAATTGTTTTTACACTTGTGTAAACTTACATTAAAATAATTTCATGAGCCTGTTTTAATTTAATATTTACTAACATCTATAACTAAACATCAATCCTTTTTTTGTAATTTTTTTTTACATTTTTTGTAGTTTTTCCATCAGTATCTTTTAATCGAAGCAGCTGGAAGTTTTTTTATATTTGACTTTACAATATCTTTCTTTGGTAAAAGAAATAATACTAAAAGAAATCACGGTTTTATAGCTAATCGAACTAAAAATTAGAAAATATTTTTTAAATACAAAGATAATAGGAGCATAATTGAAACAATTAATTATCATTAATAACTTATAATGAAATTATAATAAAATTGAAGTTATTAATACAATTATTTCAATTTAGAGTTAAAAATGTAATGTTTATTATACTTCATTTTCATAATTATCCTCTCATACATAGTTCCCATATTACGAATAACTGTAACATTTAAAACAAGTACCCCAGACTTTTCATTCTCAATTGAATTATTCTGTTAATAACTAAACTTTTATATTGTAATTAAAAATTGTCATTCACTTTGACTTCTTTTAACCAACAAACAATAGTTTTTAAACTATTATTATTATTATTATTATTGTATGATTCATTTATAGGTTTTTTGTTCCCCTACAGTATGAAATGTGTTTCTTAATCTATTAATTTTATGAAAGCTTCACTGTACATGAGTTTTTTACACGTTCAAGTTCTTCAATTTTTACAAGTTCGCCAATTACAACACTATCTAAAGAATTTCACGATTAAATGGTACATAACCTTCTCCTGCAGCAAACAGTTGCCAGCTTTGATAAAACACTGTATGACCGTATGTTCAACCTTTTTCTTTTGGATGGTCGAAGTTCAACTCATGCTTGATGGTTTAATTCGTCTCTCAGCCATCCATAGCTTTATTTTGCTGAGGGTCACAAGAAGAGTGATGAAAAACTGTTAATGAATTATTGCATAATCATCGATCCCTCAAACGTATGAAAAGTTTCTAATATGAAAATTAGATTTCTTGAAATTGGTGAAAATTATGCTCAAAACTTCGATTACATTCATACAATATATAGATAGAACACCAGTGTATTTAAAGCGTTTTTTTAAAAATTAAATATTTTTATTTAATACAATTTTTTATCTAATGTTTATTTTTCTGATGTGTCAATCAATCTTGGAATTAGAATGAGTTTCTAAAAACTTATTTTTTCAATTGTGATGTCAGTCAATATGTGATATAATTATCATAGGTTTTAAAATCATTTTAAAATCATAGTTCATAGGTTTTAAAATCGATCACGATTACAAGCGATGTATTAGCTCCTTGCAAAAGAACCTAATCAGCAGATTATAACGCAAAGTTTTAATCTTGTAAATTCATTTGATAATTTGAAAACTACATATGTATTTTTCTATTAGGTATTGGTTACCTTAGTTTGGTCTGTTATGTACTTTTTAATTTATAAATAAGTTTAAATAAATTAAAGTCACTTAAAAAAATGTTAAAAGGCTTGATCCTGTTTTAGTAAAAAAAGGATACAACATTTTATTATGTCGCCTTTACAATGGATTAATTTTGCTTGATTTCTTATTTTTGTTTTTATGTTCAAAATATAGCAAGTTAACAATAGCTTTTCTATATCAAATAGGATTTCTATTTATTTATGAAATTAAGAAAAATCATTAAGGAATGTAAGTCTTTAGAAACAAATAGTCTTGTAAGGAGACCTCAAAAAAAAATGTATTTCAAAAAACTTTTATGACATTACTTTATAATTTATTTAAATTTAATCAGTAAAAAAGACACCACAAAAATTTACATTTTTTAAAAATAATGATCACATAAGACGTTCAAAACAATATTTGCCTTTACTCATTTACTAGGTATTGCCAAGGATTACACTTTAGTTTAGCCTTATGAGACCTACTATTAATATAATAATGGAAAAGATACCATTGGTTAAGGATACAAATGAATTTCAATGAATAGTGTTTGCCTTGACAATTAATTATATTTTTATATAATTATATTAGTAATCATGTCTGAATTTAATGAACTTCCTTTACACATGTTTTGTTTAAATCTACTCAAAATAACACTAGGAGCTCTTCATGTTTCTTTAATATTTATATTCTTACAATTCACAATAAAAAGTATGTATGTAGTCAGCAAATTTTATTTCGCTGAACCATCTTCTTATAGCCGCAAAGGAGGTAGAAAAGGATTGAAAATTTATCATTAATTTTTATTATAATTCTGGAATAAAATTTTACTTTTTTTACTTCAAAACCTTGTCTTCTTTTATAAGAGAGCTCATGAATGACCCATAGGTTTGCATTATTTAAGTTTAACATATGCTGAATAAAAAGTATAGGTCCTAAAAATCAATAAAACGACAATATTCATTATACAATATTTATTTTTTATTACTTTCTACAATGTAATCGGATACATACATAACTAAGTCTATATAATATGGCTAAGTGACAATTGTCACATATTGGCACATGGAATATATTTTCACCCCTTGTCGATACAATATTTAAAGCAATATAAAGGCATGTCAATACATTTGATATATAAAATATATTTATATATTTTGTTACGACACATTACTCAAACTTCACCAACATTTCGCGATGCGAAACATTGGCAGTTTTACGATTAAATATATGAAAGAATACAAATCATATGTGTTAATTTAATAAAAAAATATTATTAATAATCTTATAACTATTACTGTATTTAGGGTTCATTATTGTATTTATCAATAGTGGAACCGTCGTTATTTGAACAAATCAAATATGTTAAGGGTTTCCACTATTGACAAATATATTGATTTGAAAGGCCAAGCCAAGTAATATAACACACCCATATACTAAGCATTAGGAACAACCCTTAAAATGTACAGGAAGCATGTAGGGAATATTATGGAAAAGCTTTAATAATAAATTTATATTACCAGCGCTTTTTGACTTTTGGTATTTTTTTTATCCAAAAAAAAAATATCAAGAAACCAAACAGTTCATAAAGTACGTTCTACGTAAAAGATTATATTAGTAACAATATTTTAAACATGATATAAATATTATATTACATAAAAATAATTAAGCAGTAAGCCGTGAATATGCTAACTTATTCTAATAAATACTATTTACAGGTCACCAGAATGCTGTTACCATTAAACTATAAAACTGTTTATTTTATTTTTCTCTTGTAAATAATGATTATAAAATTACAAAAAGCCCGTGTGATATTAATGATAACACTTAAAAAATATATTTTTATATATTTCAATGGATGGAAATAATAATAAAAATATATATTTGATATAGTGCTAGCATCACTTCACTTGTAAGGATTAATTGCAACATCCCATTCTGGTGTTAACAATAGAAGCTTGAATACTGTTGGAAATCCCATATGTTTTGATGACAGGTCTTTATCATCACCAGCGTAAATTTGTCTTGGGAGCATAGTGTACATCTCTGCAATAAAAACAAAAACATATTAGACAACGAAGAGATTGCAGTTAAATGTTAGTGTTTCCACAACCCATTAAAATGCTTGTGGACATACAAAATAAGCACGATCATGGAATGCCTTATAAGTTCAAGTCGGTCTCGTTTGTAATAAAAAGTAAAGGTATTTATCATAGTATAAACCTTACTCTATTGCATAAGAGAGACCGCTGTTGTTGGATCGTGCTTCATCACCTTCACCGCCACAAGCATTGACTACATCTACAACAATTGAAAAGAAAATTATTAAATATTTATTTCGAACTCCACAAACCACATTTACTGTGAACACAGAAAAAAATCTCGCTAATAATCGCAATATAAAAAAACCGGAAAGACCACAGATTAAAATAACATTGTTTATAAACCTCTATTTTTAATCTTTGTCTTAGCTTAAAAAAACATAAACAGCTGATTAGGATTAAATAAAATAATACCGTTACCAAATATTTCAAAACAACTCATAGCAGGATAAAAAAAACATGTACAAAAAACCTCCGTTACAAACAGAGACCAAAATCACAATACAACACTGTAGTACAAATGGGATTTCAGTAAATCCTATCTAAACAAAATTTTAATCCGCACAAAATTTAATTATAAACACAAAAATGAACCGTTAGTCTCACATCTGCTTAAATTTAAATTATTCTTAATTTTCAGTTAGCACATTATTTCAAAAGAAATATAATCTTATTAACTTCAAAATGACAAACAATAATAACATGATAATTATAAAAAAGTCATTTAAAAAAGTAATGTTGTAATTGTTGTGTTGTTGTTTAAAGAAATATAACAATCTACAATAATATCAACATAATAAATCAATCTACAACAAATGCCGCTGTATCGCTACACGAACTATTCTCGCCTCATTCGACAATTTGCGTAATCGTAACAGCGATCGTATTCGCCCAATCGACACGGCAACAGTTAAAGGGCGTAGGTGACAGGCATTATACTTCCGCGCGATACCGAGATCGTGAGCGAACACCCTGTATGTGAGACTGTGGGAACTAAACGCTTCCATTATAAAGCTGTTGTATTTTTGAAAACCTTAATTTATATGTAACTAATGTAACAAGTTGGATTGATTTCTTGTTGTTCCGTAAGTTGATATAATAATTATAATTAAATATTGAATATTTTATCGGTTGATTTTTACATAAACTTAATAAGTTTAAAAAAAATATTATACGTATTATCAAGGGTTTGATAAGAAATAACATATGACGTTCTTAGAATCAGGTGTTAATTTATTTATTTTTTTGTTTCATTGTTTAAATCTCAATAAAACACGTCCTGTATACTGAACGATATTTCCCAAGCAAGGCTAATTAACGTTGCCACTTGGGACGCGCGAACAATTGTGTACCATTGTACCAATGTCTTGTATGCGCTGGAATGCCTAAAGGCCTATGCTAATTATCTTTTATTATTACTTTTATTTAATACTAGAAAACGTTTCTTTATTTTCAACCTAGTTACTTCACTTTACAAGACGTTATAAAAAGTAATATACCGAAAAAACAGCTAGCTACAACTCAATCCATACATTTATTTAAGAAGATTAATCTGTGAAATCCAAGGAATTTACAAACGAAACCATTTGAATTAACATTAAAGTAATGTAACATATCCCTACACAAACGTACAAGATGAAATGTGAGAGATAAGGATGACCCACAACTCTAACTTTCTAGAGCATCTCGGTTCCAATCGTAATTAAGCCAGGACCCTTTGTTATCGATACGTCAAAGGCTAGGCTTAATTACAGCATTTCGATCGATAAATTATAGTTCAGATGTTCGCTTAATTAAGTTTGCATAAATGTCAACTTGTCCGCACCTAAATCTCACGATTTCGCTTTCGTTGTGCGTTCATCGTATTTATTATACAATTGATATTGATTATTATTATTATTATATAAGAAACAACTATTTCGAAATCAAATGTTATTTTAAGTTTTACACACTCATATGCTAACCAGTTTACTTCAAACTTAAACGAAACTGAAAAACGTTAAAAGAAAAGTTTGTATACATATAAATAATTTCCTAGATACGGCATTTATGTTACGAACGTTCAGTTTCCGCGTAAACCAGGATCTTAAGAATACATACTTATTTAGTAAAATAATCGGTAGCGGTACTTCACAGCCAAAGGCGCTCACGTCTGTACGTTTCACACGAGTTGGCCTTTCTAGTAAATACAGCTATACTATATGAAGATAAATAATACATATTCAAAATATAATTACAAATATATTATGACTTTTTTGACACAGGCTAAAATATCCGTACTTAATCCATAAATTATACCCTAGTGACGGACACAGTCAATTCAAATTACTTTTCACGCTATTGTCGCTACCTTCATATGAGGAAACGTTTTCATCGGGGCAAAAGGAACGAAGTTTTACAGTAGGATATGTAAAACACATACGAATCAAAGCAATCACCAGGTCAAGCGGCATGCAGACTGTTCCTTGTACGGCCGCTGCAAATTATAGGTTCACGTGTGGGGCTACCGCGTTCGCACAGTTTCGGGAGCATTAGGGGCTATTAAGCACCGTTAACACACGGGCTCGTCACGAGATCACGACTCGCTTCGTGATCTATCGGAGATCTCGGTAGCGGATGCTGTGGTTCTCACAAAACATACATACATACGTACAAACATACGTGTCATTTGTTAAGCATTGCGACTAAGGATTAAGAAAAGCAATCCGCAATTGCTAATTCATCATGACAATTATATATATTTTATGGATGTTATTTCTTCTGTTATCCTGTCAGTCGTAGCTACTAACGCATTGTGTGGTAATAACTTGTGGGCGACAATGTTCTACTGTCACTGTCTAAATATGTCATCACTACTTAGAACGACTGTGTCGCGTCAGAATGACATATGTAAACTTACGTTCGAAAAAACCTAACAAGCTGGTAATTAATTTACAATATTAACACACAAAAAATACGACATTTTAAATGTTAAATTTCCAATTTGTTTATTAATGGTATTACCAACATCCTTTATAGTTATTAGGAGATAACCTTAGTATAAATTATTCAAGGTTTTAATTACTTGTTTATGTACGATGTTAAATATCAAACCAAAATGACATTAGATATGAGTGCTACTCTTTTGATTTTATGGCTCAGTTATAAAATCTAAGATTAAACCATTATAATTTATTTCATAGCCATCTAAAAAGATGGACAATGGATTCAAAATAGAAAAAAGACCAAAATTTATTATTTAGGATACAAGATAAAGCTTACAATTTATATTTTTGTTGTGGATCAAATTCTATTGAATTCTCGTGGTAACACTAACAGTTGTAAACATTGGTATGGCATAGTGTGAGTGCACTGACAGGGGGAACCTTAATATAGATTGACTTGTCAAGCCACGGCCTTGTACGGCTGACCACAGAATATGTGAACCGAGATCTTTGCGCAATATTCAAGGTATAAAACCAATAACCTGCTTAATTCTTATTCTCTTAATTCCTTTATAAAACAATTCTATTTTACACCTGTAGCATCTCTTGATTCTTTATAGCATTATTATTTTTAGTAGGATACAGCTTCTATATGTAGAAGTAATTGAGTACACTAATTAAATTAATGCATTATTAAGAAACAATGTTTACAATATACATATTATAATCACAATCATGAACTTTCAGAAGATAATAATCATTTAATACCTATTATTCTTAATATAATGCACAAAAATATTCCCTAATAATCCCAAAGGCTATCACTGCAGTTACAGGTTTTTTATGTGAAACCAATCTCTATACTTAACAAAAACAAATTTCCTCACAATTTTTACTAACTAGTTAATATTTTAAGAAATTTATTAAGACTCACCTGTGCTGACGCAAGTTATCCTGCCGTTTGAAACTTTTGCCACACACCTCGCAGCTGAATGACAGCTCGGGGCTTTTGTGCGTGCGCTCATGAATCATCAGGTTATAAGACTTGGTGAACCGACGTTGGCAATACTTGCAGACAAACTCGCACTTTGGCCGCAGCTTACGCCTGAAATCCCTTGTGTGATCCTCGTCGATTTGCATCACGGCGAACATTTTGTCTGGTCTATGGTTACGGGCGGGGCTTGGGCGCCTGTAAACAGTATCTTATCAGTATATTTGAAGTAATATGTGCTTTAGTAATTGGATTTACAGTTTGATTTTCCTTGACGGTTGCCAGATAAGAGTAACGTTTGTTTTAATTGTTTACTGAGATTAACTACACACGTAACCATAATAAGTGATAATTTAACTTTTTTTTATAATTCAAAGTACGCGCAAAGGTTGGACGTTAATGTTGATGATTGTTAATGATTATACATAAATTTACAATCAGTAGTTTTATTTTATTTACACGTGAAAAAACTATAGAAACACGGTTTACTTCAGATATACAGTACGCACCTGATTTGAAAATGTATACGCAAAGTCCTAACACACGCACGGTGAGTTACAACACAGTATACTCATCAATTTTGAAGCGATATTAAAAAAAATTACACGGACTTAGTACGACTAGATGTGTCACTGTAGACGTGCGACGTATAGCTGGTGCGTTTGGCAACTGCGCTGGCAAGGGTGCGGAAACTACTGATAACGTTACGCGGAAGGCGCGTATCCCCCACCACGTGCGGCCGACTGAATGGACAGGTAGCCGACGGTAGGACGATGAATCGAGAAAATTACAGACAACCAGCAAGCAATTGCTCATAATTTACTCATGCACAAACATAAAACAAATGGATCATTCATTAATATCCCGTATTTTACTGCAAATTGAACGTATGTGTAATATTTATACATTGATTCAGTGAGTGTGACGGTCGCGGTGGGAAAGCATCAGCTAGCTCGCGGCGCTACCGTGCGTGCGTTTACTCACGATATAGATTATTTCGACACCGGCGCTTGCACCCGCTAAACTGACGTTTAAATTTAATAATACATTTCAATATTCTTCTACTTACTCTAATTCAGTGTTGTTTGTTTGGAACGATTTTATTTAAAGACTTCTTACTATGGATATCTTTTTTTCTCCAACACTTTAACACGTATTTAAAAAATAAAATGTGTTGGAATAATCTTTATCCATTGGTTTATTTATTTATTACATTTTTTTATGTTCTATTAAAGGGCAAATTTAAGGTCAAAGTAATAATTTCATATGATATACAATCACGTAAAGATGGCACGCAAAAGAAGCTCTAAGCATATTTCGACATACTTAACCACCATTTAGGGTTAAAATCTTCTGTGCCGGTACTTTTTGATAAGAATCTGATCACGAAGTTCCCTCTTTAGTAGCAAAATAAATGCCTGTTATGGTATGAAAGATGCTCTCGAGTTTATCTTAAATTTACTGTTCATCTTTAAGAAATTATCGTCATCTTGTATTAGCAGCGGTTACTATAGCAACCGTTTACTACACTCATAAAACAAAATTATTCCTTGTATAGAGATTTAATGAGCCCGCAAAACATTTGTCGTGACTCGGTTCTAGGTTTAATATCATATCTAAGCATTTATATTTTGGCAACGTAAAATATTTTACTCACTTTATTTACCGTAGCTATTTATAATTAATATTTCAACTATTTAAGCTATTAATCACTATATTTTTGGTTGAATCACATCCAGCCGGATAAGATCTGTGTCAGTTATAATAAGCAACGCGGATCTATGATTCAGACTTCAAAGCGCACCTTGCTTAAATATTATACATTAATGATTCATAGTGGACTCCTCTTGAACTACTGACCCGCGTCGCGGTTTCAAAGAAACATTACGAATGTATTAATTACCGTTAATTGAACGTGGTTTTATATGTTGTTATTTATTACTAAGAAACTTTGTGGTCGATTCAAATAAATCAGTTTGAATTGTAAATTTACACTTCAAAAAGTTTTCTATAACATTTAAATGGTTTGCACATTTCTGCGAGGACAGTAAAAGTTAAGAGAATTAACAATACACTCAAAAGTGTGGTGTTAAAATCTTTAATATGTAAAATATATGTGGTGCTTCATATTTGTATTGAGGTGAGAGGTTCCCAGGTTGTTTCAAGCTTCGGGTCAACATTCATTAATTATGAAACTAAGTGAAAGGAGAACGGTTAATGCTTTGGTTACGTGTATTTATATGTAATAAATTGTTTACATATACATTTTTAAAGAAAATTAAAAGTTTTTAAGTCTCAAAAATATATATATAAATCTGTTGAATGTTCACAATGAATTATTATACAAATCGTCAGAGATTCTTGTTCGAATAATGGTTACAAGCTACGACTTCGCAGTACACTTAATGATGTCTTTTTTTTTAAACTGCCACTTAAAATATAATTACGCAAAATTCCACAAAATAATGTAGAGACGCGCAACACAAAACAGACGATTGTTAACAACAAAGTTGCAAGTAGCGATAACTTATAAACTGTGCTATAAATTACTCATTCCGAATCATTTATACCTTTTACCGATATGCTGAAATTCAAATACAAAAAACAAGTGGATAGTTAAAGAAAGCAATCAATCAGGATGCACTTTATCTCCATGTATTGAACATTAAAGAAAGGATTAATGCTTTAAAGGTTGTAACTTCACGACTGTGAATACTTTTAATGATTATATTTTATTTCTCGCATCTTAAAGTAAAATCATTAATGTGAAGCTAACTATGCCCTATTCATAGGTCGGCCTGACTTTTTATTAGTCATGAAGCATTTCATTTTTATTTTATCGTTAAATAAAATACTGAGCTGTCTTAGTACTAAACCAATTAGTGCTATTGTTTTGGATGCGTCTATAAATAATGAACAATTTAAATGGACATTGAAATAAGAAATCGAAGACCAAAAAAGTTGTGAAACTGAATCCTAAAAGGACGATTTACACGCTCCTACAAAGGCAATATTTATCAAGTTATTGTGTCAATGCCTTTATAGATGCATCTAATACGGTCTATTACTTCGCTTTGTAAGCATTGTTAGTCTTTCAAGAGCCCGAGCGCCGAATCAGCGTGAGTCCATTGGGATTTGGGCTTTCGGCGTCGTCTTTCTTGGAATTCCACAATCATTATTGTATATGTTCGCTTCGCACTTGTGCAATCAATGGATCTCGGATAGTAATCGAATGTGAATAAAAAGTTCAAAACGCTTCAATGTTAAACGAACTTAGTTATTTAAAAATTGCAATAAAACAATTGGATGCATAAAACAAGAATGGAATGGCATGCCAACAAGCCATTATTAAAGACAGTCGCAACGGACGAAACTTAATAAAAAAATATAACCATATTGTTCAGCGCGTGTCTCTGTATTTCAACACGGAATTATGTTTATCATTCTGTTTGACATTTTTACGAACAATATATTATTCATCTCTGTTATCCCGATAAAAATCGCTTTAATAGAGAAAGGGACGGAATGTAATTGTTGCCTTGTCCTTTAAATTATGAGTTCACAATGCCCGGCATGAGCTGAATCATGGTCTTATAATTACCCCGTTGAGGTTTCGTTTATGAATAAATCTTTAATCACGGTATAAGTTACCGAAACCGTAGAATGTTTTTAAAAATCTCGTCTGCCCGTGATCACGGTTGCTGAAAAGTAACGGAAACTTTAGGAGTATGTAGTTTAAAATAAAAAAAAAACGCGTACTAATTCGAATAATATTAGTTAATTTGGATTCTAGTGCTCATAAATAAAACAAAGCAGATTCTCTTCATTGACGTAACTTGGACATTATTCAAGGATAATTTCAGTGTAATAGCAATCAAAATGCAAACTGGTTCCAATAAGCGGGGTCCAAATTATAATATACAAATGAGCGAGTGAGCAGAAATAACCAATCAGTTTATGTCCCGCGCGTTCCCACAGGAACGATGCGAGCATTCGGACAATAAACTATGGAGTAGCGTTCGTAATATAAATAATTAACAACCTTAAAAATACGTTTGAAGGTATCAAAAACAACGTTACTTACATTTTGATTAAGTTAATCTTTTTTTCGTACAGTAATAAGGAAGTTTTTTGCTTATCAAACTAGAATGTTACATCCTTGAAGATTTTTTTATATAAAGAATATAAGATATAACTTCTCAATGCATACGCTGTTCATTATACCAAAGAATCTGATATATTGGGCGCTTGGCGTACCCTGCGGCAGGCGCCTCCCTTGGTACGATTGCCTATGTTTTTAACCTCTATATACATTACAAGAGGCTTAAGGTTTAATATTTTCAACCCGACAAAGTAATTAGTTACGAGATACAAAAGGATATCGCTATTTAACATGGCGAAGTCGATTAATTAACAGTTTTAATTTCTAAGTTAGAAGATTAAATATGTTGGTATAATAACTTAACTAAAAAATAAGGCAAATAACTCATAATAATCATATATAATATAAGTGTAAAAAGTATGTAGATACCTGCCAATTTTTGTAAGAAAAATTTTGCATTCCAATAACTACATATCTTTTTAATAATATATTGACTGAATTTTGAAATTTAAGGATTTCAATAGTACTTACTCTTAACTTCAAAATGCGTAAAGACACCGTTAAAAACTATTACACTATAATACAATCACAATTCAGAAGATGTCGTATGGAAACAGTTGCCTTTATAAGATTAATACGTCATATAAAAGAAAAGGAATTAAATAGGGATAATCCGAACCCTTATAGTTTATGTGCTTAGGGTGGATGCCCACACATACACATGTGTTTATACAAGACGGCTACTGGTTTACACGGCGGCCAATCAAAAGCTTGATTTGATCACACGCCATTGGTTGATATGAAAAAACTAATGTGGTTTACATCCAAAGTATAAGGGTGAAAACTTTTAATAACGATAGAGATTTACCGAAAAATAACACTGATAAATTATCATATATATTAGTAAAACATATTTAATTTACCTATGTCAACAGAATTTAATAAGAATGTATTTGTTTAAAATTTAAATCAACCAGATGGAGTCGATCACAAATTTTTGAATTAGTAAATATACTTATCAACATTTTCCCATGATTTAACTTATTGTCCGGCATCTTTTGCCTTGAGTTCAGCATATATTCAATTAAAAAGTGATTATTTAACAAAATATAGAAAATGATAAGACGATATCTTTAAAAATTAATAAGCCAGCGCACGCGCATTGAAAAAATTAATCCGGCTACTGTACACCAATCAGCGCACGGAGGCGGGACGCGTAACTCGGTAGCCGATTGGGGGATTTCAAAAAAAGAATTCCAACTTTTTTATATTTATATGCGAGAAGCGTAGGAGGAACTTTCTAAAGCCGACATCAATTTCTATATCAGTGGATGACATTTATATAAATTTCAGTGTTATTAGGTTGCTTTTATAAACTATATTTCGTTTATGTTCGTTAACTTCTTAAACTATTATTTATCAAATCGATAGTTTTGCAGATATATTTTGCTATACGGCTAAATCAATAGGCAGTTTAAGAATGGCTGCAAAAAAATTCGGCCCATAAACCGTCGAGCACTTGACCGCAAACATCCAAATCAAACAGTCAGGTACGAAACAGCCGGCGCTAAATGTACTCAGCGCCGGTGTGAACAAACAAACAACGGTCTGAATGAGAGCGGCTATCAATGGCCAGACCGAATATTATGGACTATATAATGTTATAAGGAAATTTAATCTTAAATTATAGATCAAAAAAGAACTCATACTAATAGCAATTAAAATGATAGCTTCTGATTGAAAGTTTTTAGGTTTACTCACGCTGTAATTAATTTAACATGTAGGTACCTACTATAGGAAAAAGTCTTATATTTGAAGAGTCTAACTGACGACAAAATATATAATGAAACCTATGTTTTAGTATAAATCCCAAATATACTAGCCCATAATCAACCTGTTCGTATTCAAGAAAACGATTGTGTAGTAAGTTCTCAATCATTTGAAATTTTGTCTTTAAAGTCTACCATTTAGTTTTAAAAACTTTAGTCATATTGATATATATTATTATAAATAATACTATATAACTACTTAGAATAATATAAAAAATTCAAACGAAAAATCTCCTACAATAACAATATAAATACAAGTAAGTAACGATTAGAACTGGTGGTTTAAACAGGATTGTATATAATTCAAACGTAGACATTGGATTGCGTATTGAAACACGATAAGAAACACAATAGATAAGGTCACTGTAGGTTTTATTATTCGCTGTAAAGTTTATCGTTTAACAAAACTATCTTGTCGGGATATTCAAAGAGCATGGCCCGTGTGCATACAGATAAGATATGTATAAATTAGGAAGTGTTTTACAAATGTATGGATGGTTTGCTTTCTTTTGTTTTTATGATTGCAGTGGATTACTTAGAAGAAATCCTTGTTATAGCATTCTCTTTAATAACTACACGTAATATTGAGGACATGCTCACAGGTTTAATTGTCTGCCTCTAAATTTTCGAAGTATATAGGTCTTCTGGTGGAAAATAGGTTATTTTAACCCGAAAACAATTAGAGGTTTTAAACGAATTGACGTGAACAGACGGTTGACAATTAAAATTAAAATTAAACTTTTCTATTCAATAGATTCCAGTTACATGGAAAGGTTTTCAAAAATATTACCTAAATGGAAAATTTATATAAAATTCATATTATAAAAACAGTTAGATATTATATATCTAGTTCTGTTTAATCTCCTTTGTTTTCTTTAAACTGAAAGTTTGACGGATAGGAACTTAATACTCAAACTTAGCGCTTTATTTGTTAATATTTAACACATCCAAGAAAGGAATTCGTTTATCTATGGTCGGAGTCAGATAAGCGGAAAGTCGCCCAACCTTTGTCTTTTATCTCCAGCAAATAAAAGTTTCCTGTCATACTTTACTCTGCTAACTAGTAACTTACAATACGTCAATGGTTATTACGTATATACACCCAATTCTTTTATATTGCCTATAAGAAAATGTAATATTTGATATCATATATTATACAAAATAGTAAAATATTACGATGCATTAAAATAAAATAAAGAAACAGCATTGCGGGAGATGTAGCAATCAATTTGAATACCCGATCAATATTTAAACATGGAACCGATATTAATGGATGCAAACGTTACGGTCGGCGTTATGACAAAAGCGATTCCGACTATAAATAATCATTGTCTTTGAATATTATTCCACCCCGCGGTTCATAAACATTGGACAACGTGTTAATAATGGCTATATGTGACAGTTGTCTTTTTAGCCGTACGAGTGCATTCAGACGAGTTTAAAGAAAGTGCCGCAACCTCCCGTCGCGTCCAAACATTCCTTACATGATTTTGTCGTATTATTTATAATTATAATGCAAAAAAATTCATATTATTTAATTTAAAACAAAATATTTAATATATTAGGGCTCTAATCAATTTTTATATGATATAAGTTTATTGCGTTAGGTATATAATTTTGCATTCAACCGCAATTGAATGGCGTGGGCGTAATTGTTTGCTACCGAGATACGCGCTTATAAGGTTTTAGTCTACGAGTTAAACAAAAATGTTTGAAATTATTTATTTATTTAGTCTTTATGATAACCACTTTTTTGCTCATTACGTAGCGAAATTAATGAAAATATTCTATTGTACTTAAATCAGTTTCAATAGCACAAAAATAATCTTATGATTATTTGTTGTTCAATAGAAAAGAAATACAAAATAGGCTTTTAATATTATCAAATCGCGTAATTTATTTAGGCATGAATATTTAAATTTTTTACATCCTATTCATAAATATTTATTTAGTATAAGTATATTTCCTTCAAAGCATAATAAGTTTTACACTTAAAGAATAACCGCGAAAGAATTAAATAAATTTTACTTTACGATGATCATACAGTATTACAAAATATATAAAATTAAGACACTTCAACACCGTATTAAGGTGACGCAAAATGTTTCAGCTAATTAATATATTAAACAATAAAAATGTTTACGACGTCAGCTCTTGGACTCTAAATGCAATAATTTAGTAATGTAAAATTCCCTTCGCCTTCGGCCATGGCACGAAGATCAGAATTTGAAGAACATTTCGAGAATCGTTTATACAAATTGAATTTATACAGTTTTTGGCAAAAAAAAACTTTTGATGTTTTACGTACTCTAATAATGTAGTCAATTTGAAGTTAAATAACTAGAAACTGTATAGGAAATTACAAACGTTTTATGAAATATCTATTTCAATTAACACATATAATTATATATACTGAAAGGTCCCATGGGAATTTCGAATTTTTATGCATCAAAATCTAACGAACCGTGAACTCTATCCATTTTTAATACAAAATAGCATGTAATATCCCCAAAATATCTATGGACAAAGTTTTTATAAAGAGTATTCTTTGGTATTGTTGAATAAACTATAAATCTTCAATAAAATGAAATCGATTGGACTCTCGATAGTTATCAGAGATGACTAAAAAAAACTTTAACATATTTAATATTCTATTCTTAAAGGGCGCTAAGAATTATATGGTGAGTTTAGTTTCTTAATATGAATTGTAATTATTCATAATTTAATTGATGAAGTCAGTTCAGAACTGATTAATTTTAATATAAAATTTCGCATAATACTAACATATTTTTCATGAAAATACAAATTATTTATGAATAAAATGAATGCTAACAAGAATGTTATCGTATCTCATGGACACATGAATGATTGTACTTCACACCTCAAGCCTTGCTTGTTAATATTTTATGATCTTAGGGAAACCAACTTTACATAATTAGTAATAAATAAACGAACATGCTAAAATTATGCGTGTATGAAATTTTGACGTTGAAAAAAAAGAATAATAAATTATAAAAATGCAAATCAAATCGTTCGCTCTCTTAATATATTTGATGTTAATTTTTATCTCGTTGTAATTGATTGTTTCATAGAATTCAATTTAAATTTTGCACAATTAAGAGAGCATCGATATGATATGTTTAATTTAAGTTGTGTCTAGTACTCACTGTGGGTTCTGGCGCTAACAGCGGCGTTTATTGCTGATTAATGATATATTTTTACGTATAAATTAGTCGGCTGCGCGTCGTGGACTGTTCGAGTGCAGTAAAAAACAGTAATTTATTAGTGGCGACTTCTCGTGTTGGCACGGGCTTAACGAGTGTGTGGCGTGCGGTGCGATGGTAAGAAAAAACTGGCTCGCCTGGTACGTAGCTCGAGCAGCAGTGGCCTGAGGAAGAATAACCCCAGGAGTCGATGGGAGCTGCCACCGCTTCCGAACGCACCCCGCACCCCCCACCTCCGACCCACCGCTCGATACAGATCACGCATTCTACGAATACCTTTAGCCACGGCGCTGGCGACCGCCTGCCATCTTTCTCACTCTCCCGTCGGTGCTGGTTGTAACTGTGCTGAGCTGAAGCTGTCCTAATGAACGTTTTACACCGAAAGACGCTTCTTAAGTTCACCGAGTAAAGGTCACGCGGACCAAGCGAGCCGGACGACGCAGCGTGAGCGTAGAACTCGACGGTCCCGAGGTAGCTGCGCGTGCGCAACACCGGCAGCGCCCACATGACCGGCCGTTTAACTGCGCGCGACGCTCGCAAAACTCTGTCCATCCCACTCTAATAGACAGTGACGGTAGACCTCTCCTTCTAACACGGCGACGTGGAAAAATGTATCTAGTTCTGTTGAGAGGACGCGGAGTGCAGTAGCATTTGAGGGGATTTTTTTTTTCGCTTTTATAATTTTGTGACTATCCGTCCTGCTCGCTCCAGCTCTCGGGAGTTCATAGAGGGAGATGGAAGACTGCCACCGAGTTACGCCTTCCGCGCGTTCTCGTTATTATGTAGGTTGGCCTCGCATTAGACTCCGTGTAGTGAACGAGGGCATGTATAAAATATAATAATGTAGTAAATACGTCGCTTGTTTGCGGTGAAGCCGGTTATTTATGTGCGCTCCGGGCTACCGCGCTACGCACCGCCTCTTGTAATTTAGCTCCCACTCGACATTCATCAATCATAACTTATAGGGCTAGATATTATATAAATGTAAATATTGTCAATTTATTTTATCCATATAAATTATATTTTATTAATAAGGAATGATGCCTGTAGATAAGAAAATGATTAAATTATTGAAATAATAATATTTAAGAACAATATAGGTACTTTGATAATTAATGATTAATTTAATTAAATATTTTAAATAATATGTTTGAGTTGCAATATAAAATAAATATCATTGAATAAAAACATTGCGAATAATATTGTTCTTTAACTATAAATAGATAATTTTGAATACATATATGTATAAATATATACACGTTAAATATATACACGTTTAACTCGTTACATTATAAGTAAATAAGACGCTTATTCAAAATCTCAAACTAAGGATGAAACGGATAGCTCATAACGGAACTTTGACACGTGAACATCAACGGGATTCCAAACAAATGACGATTTTCCAAAAAAAGACTTAACAAATCTTTTTCTCCTATTTAAAACCTTCACACCCATTAGCGTGCAATCAAGCGTGCACGATGACAAACGGCGAGAATGGCCAACAACATCAAAACATATTACGGAATATATTGTTCACGAAATTGGTATTCATTATATCTAGCTACGGGAGGCTTATAGAATTATTGTCCCAAATTATGGACTGCAAAGTGACAGTTACAGAAGACAATACAGCCGAAATAAAACCCTGTGTTTGCTTACAATGCTAGAAACAATTGGGAACATTTAACAACAAAAAGACGTCATATAGAAACTTTTGTTGACAAAATGAATGGCCACTCCGACCACACCGGCTTGACATGCGTTGCTAATGTCCTAATTCAAAAACCTTCGGATATAGACATGCAATTTAAAATGTATAATTGCATTTCCAGAACTGATTCTGCAATAAACATTTTTCATTACATATCTCAAAATGAATGCTAACTAAAATTACTTTATTCATAAATTATGTTATTAAAATAAAAGTAATTTTCATAACTACTTGAAAAAAATAATACATCAACATGTACAACGAAAAATATTAAAAATCAAAGAGAAAACGTAAAGCGGCAGGAGTACCGCATTTTATTAGAATTTTATTTTAAAGTTCTCTAATCTGTTTAGACTTTTAGATAATCATTTTCCTCGGCAAAAACCTATCACCATTTTAGTTAAATTTTCAAACGACTGTGAACTATGTAGGTACATATTGTTTTTACAAACTGGCAAAAATTTGCTACCGGCTCCATAAAAGCGAATTGTATCTTAACTGGAATCGTCTGCAGACCTTATAAAGAATCGCGGAGTTAGCTAGTCTCTCCTAAAAATAATGTTTTTGCTCATCACTAACTCCACGGACCTGGGATTCGTGCTTTGTCTTTTTCGTCGGTGACGCAATTCATACCGAAACGGAACAATAAAATACATTGCACCATCAAGCGATTGTAACGCTTAAATAAAAAGTATTAGAGTTAAATCTCGTATAACGTAGTCATCGAGAGAGTCTCTCGTTGACAACAGAGACATCGATGCTATTCTTTTTTTAAATCGATTGTAAAAGCTCTCATGACTCTGTGAGAATTCGAGTTGAGAGTACCAACAGACTCACATTCTTAAAGCTATTCAAAGCATTCTTTGTGCCGGCTTTGTGTCAATACTTCGTCTTTGAAGTCACTAGTTAGCTCTCCGATTATAATATTGGACGCGAAGATACAATAGTTGGTAGAAGCCGAGATATTCAGATTTGTATCCGACGGCTATTTGTTCCGTACGCGGTCCACGACTATCTAAATCGTATAACTCGGATTCTTTATCGTATAACATTAAAGTAAATAAAATAAATACATGAAATATAAATTATTTCTGCTTTATTTTATTAACATCTTAATATAAAGATAATACTTAAAGACTTATTACAACGTCGCTTTAAAATATCTACCTGCTTAAATATAAAATTAAAGCCATCGGAGATATATCGCTACGATAAAAACGGAGTTGTTATTTAAAATCGTTTTAAAAAACAATACCAAATAAAATGTTATCGAATATGATATCAAAAAATAACATAAAATATATAAATTCATAAGAAATCTCTATCATATTAATATCATGGAAAAAAGATGGCATTTAAATGCAAATATTTTCGAATGATTAATATCATTAATCTGCAATCTGCCACTGAATTCCACGCTACATTCTTGGTAAGGTTTAACGCATAACCAGTAAATTTAATGTCTACATATCCTTTTTATAATGTTATAAAAACTAATTTATTATATCAAGATAAAAATCATAAAGGACTTAAAAATAATAAAGTTATTCTTAAAATAAATTAAAAATATATAAAGAGTAATAAAGTAGAAGGCTTACCCATTTGTACGGATTTGATTAAACTTGGAAGTCGAATAAAAAAAAATCACAGGAGAATTATAAAATTCTCGAATACGTATAAATGAGACCGAACAATATCAACGCTGCGACACAACTGCTTGTAAAAGAAATCAGGAAAGTATGATAGCGATTTTTTTTTAAGTTTTAAATATGTGAATTTACAAGACCGACCGATTCGGTCTGATACCAAAAAAGAAGTAAACAGATGACATTCGGCCGCCGAATAATTGTGTTTTACAAACTGAACGAATAATAAATAATACAATTTTGCGGACCGGCGATTATATTACAACCTTTATCCATAGTGTATGATGCAGGCGACAATAAAAATGCAAATGACGTCCAACGATGCTTATTTACGGTGTTGGACGTTAAAACAATCAACCGGCCGCCAGCGAATGCTGCCTGCTTTTATGTATATACAACACATATCATTCGACTTCTTATATTTTTATTACAAATATTAGATTTATTATAGGATCATTAAAATATTTACCATCGCTTATCTACTGTAAATGTATTAAAAATGTCTTAATTCAATATACAATTATAAATACCAATATTTTCGTCTCTGTGCAATAATAATAGAGATATATTTTACACCTGAACTAATATAATTCATATTTATACCATATATGAATTGTTAAAATGTTTTAAGTTACATACAAACATACAGCCATATGTATTTATATAATATAACATATTAAAAACGTCTAAAACACACAGATCACCAGTCCAACAAGCCGGTTTTACGATGTATAATATATCATTCATCAACAAATTGACCTATTTTAATAATTACCGCCTTAAACCTAACTACTATAGACTTAAAGACTATATTATAAATTCACACTGATTAAATATTTTCTTGAAACGAACAGGAATTGAATGTTTAATTCATAAAAATTTATATATTCACGGACCATTTTGCAATAATTTAATGTAATTAATAACTCGTCACGTTTTTTAAAATATCCTATAACAGTTTTTCATACAAAATGGAACAAAAGCTGCCGGAATCGTTGCGTTGAGTTTCATTATTATTGATTTGCTAGCTTTTCCTGTTCTAAAAGTCGATGCAAAAAAAGTAAAAACCTCTGACATCACTGCTGTCGTAAGCCCTGTGCCGGATTTATCTTAATTTAATCAACAAGATACATATAAAACTTCCTTGGTTAACGGACTTTTTGCAAATACTAAAACATGACGTAAATTTAAATTGTTCTGTTAACCGAAAAAGTTTTGCTAGCTTTAAGATATGTAATTGGGACAAACATCAAACTAATATTGTATGCTCTGTTTACTCTTTTAAATATCTAAAACTGAAAATATTTTATCGCACATAAAAACATCAAAAATACGATTATTATATAAGGCTTTTTCAAATAACAGATGGCGCCCTTTTGATATTAATTTTATAGCATTTTGATGGTGCCATTTATATCTGCAAAAGCTAAGTTTCGACACATTTTGATGTAATAAAAATATAGTTATAAATATATTTTATACTTTACCAAAAAAATGCTAAAAAACATAATAAGACATGATTAAGTCTGTAGAAGCCTTAAAGTAGATAATTTAAATCTATGAAACCCAGACCGATTGTCACTTTATATTTTTTTTGCTCGCACATAAATTATAATTGAAATGTCACCAAGAACCTTTTAAAGTCGTTTTTTGTTATCTTATTTCCTTCTTATCGTTATAACCCCAGATGTTTCTATTTCCATTGGCCACATCACATTGAGATGCCAAAAAATCAATTTACAAGTGATTTAATGAATTTATTATGCAGATTACTTCGATTTAGTTTTGTGGACAACGATAAATCTATAGAGGCGAGACAAATAAGTCATAACATTGGAAAACCAGGTAAGAACGACTTTAAATTATTTGTTTTTTGGGTTTCGGTTCTGTTTCAAAATAAAGTAGGTTTTAGTTTTACTTTTTGATGTGTATCATTGCTTGTGATGTCTTAAATATTTAAAATACCTGCCTTAAGAAACATCGCGAATTCTTTGGCAACGTTTTTATCTTTGAAACATGCTTTCGCAATATTGACACTATTAAATACTTGGGGTGTACTCTTCATTATTGGGTAAGTCTGTAAAGTTATTCGTGAGACAGACTTGTACCTACTGTTATTTTCACCTGGCTGGTCATAATTTACGGCAGACATGAACGTTATAGTTAATAGAAAACTACTGATTATATTTCACTTT